TATATATATAAAAAACTCATAAAAATGACAAAACGGTGTTATTTTAGTATCATTGATATAATATAATATATTATATTTTAATATCATTGATATAATAATTGTTTTTATTATTATTTTGAATTAGTTTTTATTTTTATATTTTCATTTTAATTTTAGTTAACATTTTAGAGATTTTGTTGTGTGTTTTTGTCATTTTTCTTAGTTTTTTTTTTTATGTCTATATAATATCTTTTTGGTAACACTTTCTATGAAGCCCATATTTATAATACATTATAAGAGTATTCTTAATGCATTATAATGAATGCATAATATATTATAAAAAAACCTTATACTATGTTTTATCTTCTCATTATAAATCATTACAACAGTTTTAATGCATTATAATATTTACTTATTTGTGGTTATGGCTTTTAAGATTATGATGATTTATAACACACAATGAACACAATGCATCCACTTAACTCACAATGGATTATATTTCCCATAGTTATAATGTATTATAAGTCTCATATCTTGCCATCTTTCTTATGCTACTTTACTTAAAGCAGACAAAGACCACTTATACTGTAAATAATTGCAACAAAAATAATAATAAAAATAATAGTTTTTCTTAAACAGCCGTAAGATCAGATATCTGATCAGATGAGTGTGTAATATGGCACATTTGATTTGAACTATTTATTGTAAAATCAGTAAGATACAGTACAGATCTTAAATAAATAATGTCAAGAGACTTATAATCCATTAGAAATTAAGTGGATTTAACATGGTGTTTATTGCGTGTTATAAATAATCATACTCATAATAGTTATAACCACAAATAAGTACGTTTTATAATGTATTATAATTGTTGTTATGATTATTTTTGAGATGAAATAGAAAGTGTTACCATTTATTTATTTATATATATATATAATTTTGAATGAAATATAATTTTTTTAAAATTTTTTTTAGTCAAGTTAAACTAAATGGAAATTAGAAATGTTTCATTAGCAACTTTACGTTTTTAAATATTTTATTTCAGGTAACTTTTTTTTTTTTTTTGTGCTGGAAATGCTTTTTATATAGTTTGTAGTTTTAGTTTACTATAATGACCCTGCAACAAAATGACTAAAACTTCAACTAAAAACAAATGAAAACAGAAAATCTAAAAATAAAATCTAATTCAAAATATTAACATAAACTATAATAGTATATCACTCACTGATGCTAAAATGACTCATGCACGCTGCAGATGCATATGAATGCACAGATGCATTAAACTCGAGTCAGTATGCTGCGTGTTTTATTTGTGACCCTGGACCACAAAACCAAGGGTCAGTTTCTCGAAATTGAGATTTATGCATCAGCTGAAAGCTGAATAAATAATCTTTCCATTGTTGTATGGTTTGTTAGGATAGGACAATATTTGGCTGAGATACAACTATTTGAAAATCTGGAATCTGAGGGTGCAAAAAATCTAAAATCTAAATATTGAGAAAATCATCTTTAAAGTTGTTCAAATGAAGTTTAATGTATTATAGATAGACTGATGTGTGTTTCTCTGCAGTGTGAGGTTCAATCAGGGATACGCGGCACTGAGTCAGACGGGAGAGGATCCGCTCGTCTCGCTGGACTCAGACAGGTGCGCCAGCCATCAGAACGAGCTCAGTGTTAGTTAAAGGGCTTTTACACAAGCCTGGAAACCTGTTATTGGCCAGAAACCCGTTCTGTTTGAATCAGTTTGATTAGAGGAAGTGTGTGCTGATTGATTGATTGGTTTGGTTTCATCAGTGATGCAGAGCTGGATTGTTCGTCTGGATATTCCTCAGCAGAGGTGAGTTAATATCTTATATAGTTTGGTAAACGGGTAGTTAGTTGCCTTCATGTTTAGGGTTTGAATATGCATCATTGTGCACTGATCAGATATTTAGTAATCAATTCTAAAACGCATACAGTTTTTATCACAAAAACAGCTGCAGAATTTTTTATAAAGTTGTACAGAATTGTTGATCGAGCTGAATTTTAGCAAACGTTTGATGATTATCTGCCTTTGAAGCTGATTTGGTAATGCAAATCAAATAATAATCCATTTTAATTACTATTATTATTATTATGTACCCTAAATATAGCATGTTAATTTCATGTCCAGTATATATATACCTTTTTTTCATTCATAAATTCACATTTGTGTCTTCAGCATGTTTTTGAAAATTACTGTCTTGCCAAAATAAAGGACAGTATAACTATAACTAAAAAGTTTCAGAATTATATTTTCCAGCTGATTGATGATTTATAATAACCAGAACATTATCAACCATTGATTTGGACGCTAATATTTGTGACCCTGCAGCACAAAAGCAGTGTTAAGTCGCTGGGGTATATTTGTAGCAATAGCCAACAATACATTGTATGGGTCAAAATTATACATTTTTCTTTTATGCCAAAAATCATTAGGATATTAAGTAAAGATCATGTTCCATGAAGATATTTTGTAAATGTCCTACCGTAAATATATCAAAACTTAATTTTTGATTAGTAATATGCATTGCTAAGAACTTCATTTGAACAACTTTAAAGATGATTTTCTCAACATTTAGATTTTTTTGCACCCTCAGATTCCAGATTTTCAAATATTGTCCTATCCTAACAAACCATACATCAATGGATAGATTATTTATTCAGCTTTCAGATGATGCATAAATCTCAATTTCAGAAAAAGTTACCCTTATGACTGGTTTTGTGCTCCAGGGTCACATATGTCAGGCTTTACAGGGTTAAATAGGCACATAACATGATGAACTTCACAAGGTTTGTATTTATGAAGTGAACACCTTTGGGATCAGTGATAGCAGCATCTGGTTTCTCCGCAGGTGCATCCAGATCTGAGCAGGCAGCTGTTGAAGGATGGATATCACCTGGATGAGACACCTGATGATGAAGATCTGGACCTGATTCCCCCGAAAGCCCTGAGCTCCTCCGTCTGCTGCTGCTGCTGCGTGCAGTGAGGTGCTGATGCTGAGGAATGGACCAGAAACAGTGTTTTTAAGAGCGCAGACTTGTGTTGTTTGTCTCTATACTAGAATCACACTTCGTAGCCAGACCCCCAAACGCTTCCAGCTTTGAGCTGTGATTTACTCGCATCCCTGTCATGAACACACGCCAGAGCGGGTCACATATCAGCCCAAAATCAGAATAAAGAAATCAGGAGTTATATTTAAAATTAGGCAGATTTTAGTACCATTAGTAAGATGCACTGCGACATTATTCTTCATTTTTATTAAATTTATTTAGGCCGAATTCTCATTGCATCAATTCTTATAATGTATGGAAGTTTGTTTCTGCCACAGGATGAAAAAATAAAAAGTTAATTGCAACTTTTTATCTCACAAATTGGACATTTATTATGAGAAATTCTCAGAAATTGCGATATACAAACCTTAGAAAAATCAGAAAAAAGTCAGAATTGTGAGATATTAACTCGTGATTGTTAGAAAAAAGGTGCGGTTAACTTTTTATTTTGCTTAAGAAACAGAATTGTGAGAATTCCGAGAAAAAAGTCAAAAGAAAAAAGGTTTGAATTGTGAGTAATTGTGAGAAAAAAGTCATGATTGTAAGATTAAATCGTCTAAATTTTTTTTTTTAAATTTGTTTCACAAAAACAGAATTGCGATATGTAAACTTGGAATTGTTTATATTTTGCAATTCTGTTTTTTGTTTCCACACATTCAAAAAAAAAAATATATATATATAATTGTTTTTGTTCTGACAGTGATTCAGTTTGATTATGATTCTTTATCAATTATTTAAAAAAAAATAATTATATATATATATATATAAGATAATTGTGGTAACACTTTTTTCCCCCTCACAATTTGGATTTTTTTTTTCTCAGAATTACACGTTTATGTCTCTTTATACCAGAATTGAGAGGAAAAAAGTCTGAATTGCAAGATTAAAAAGTCACCATTATCATTTTAATTCTTTTTTTTAATTCCGTTGCAGAAACGGTCTTCCATAGTGATGCCAGAGATCTCATTCTCATTGCTGTAATGGATGAAAACAAAGATATTTAAATGGTCAGTTATGTATTCATCATGGAAGTATTTGTTGTGCTGCCTTTGAACTGACTGAAAAAACTATTTACAAAAGCATAGTACTTTATTTGCTTTAGTCACAGAAATATGATTTGGAAGTGATTCGTGTCTCAGCGTTTGGGGAAGTGCAGCGTTACTGATAGTGAGAACTGATAGTGACACTACTTTACGTACTTGTGTGTGTGTGTGAGAGAGAGAGAGTGTGTGTGTGTGTGTGTGTGTGTGTGTGAGAGAGCGTGTGAGTGTCTGTGTATGTGTCTCTCTGTGTGTGTGTGTGTGAGTGAGTGAGTGAGTGTCTCTGTGTCTGTGTGTGTGAGTGTGAGTTTTACTCTGCTCTGGAGGTTTTTGAGGCTCTTGAAAAGTGTTTATTAATTTTTTTAAACTATGTTTTCTCTCTGATATTCTGTTACTCTCAAACAGCAACACATTTTGTTACTGAAATGAAGTGAGGCTGATGCGAGTTGTTACTTTAGTCAATATATGACGTGTTATTTTGTATTTAAAATTGCATAATCAAGAATATTTTTATCTGCCCTTAAATATGCATTTGCTTGAGTATTATAAATATGTCGTTGTGTTTGTGGTTAAAGTGTGTGTGTGAGAGACATTTAGAAAATCTTCAACACTATGCAACTAAACACTTTATTTCTTCACTTTGTAGCCACAAGAAATCAGTTACTGACTTTATAATGCGATGACTTTATTGACTTTTATTTTGTTGCAAGAAATATATTATTTGTATTTAACTATGTTAATTGTGAAATTAAAGGAAACACTTAAACTTTCTCTCTTTAATGTGTGTCAGGTGTTTATATTCACAATCGAATCTCAGCATGGATCGTACATCATGCTAGAAATGACCAGCAGTCTTCCTTTAATGCTATTTGTATTAAACTGGAACTGAGTTGGAAAAAAGCCGGAGTCATGTGTGTGTTGGTGAAAGTGGTGTAGTTTCTAGACAGCTGATGGATGGGTAAAATATAACAAGTAAATGCAACAATAAAAGTGTGAAACTGCACTTACTGCGCATGAGCACTAGAGGTCGCTGACAGCCTGAGTTTTTAATTCATGCATTAGAAGAAATCATGACTTTTGAGCCAATAAAACATGCAACATGAAGCCCTCATGAGCTAAACCTCAAGGCATACATGTGCTTCATTAATGTCTCTTTTTCGACAGATACTGTATAAATAATAATCATACTTTCATCTGGAATCTCCGAATTAGTGAGCTGCTCACTTCACAAGAAAATGCTCGAGAAATGCTCTTTATGTAGGCAGCTGATTCAGTTTTGAGCAATGAATATTTTTGAGAATGAAGCGTTTTAATTATGTTTGTTTTCTATAGGAGCGTTTCAGCAGACTCTTTATGCCATTAGAATTGATTGTTGATTTTCTAAATATTTGTACATAATTTTGTCATCATTAGAATATTTATGTATTTATTTAATTGATTAATTTAATGTATTTTTCTGAAAATAGGGGCATTTCAGCAGACCGCTTCATGACAGAATTATATTAACATTAGAATTCGTTTTAAGTGATTTATTCAACAAGTTATTTTAGTCATCATTAGAATATTTCAATATTTATTTTATTTTAGTAATTTAATGTAATTTTCTGAATACCTAACGCAGTGACAGAACTATTTTGACATTCGATCTGGTCATTTTCTAATTTAATTTAATTTTTATTTATTTTTTTGTCGTCATTAGAATATTTATTTATTTTATTTTACTAATCAAATGTAATTTTCTGAATACCAAACGCACTGACAGAATTATATTGACATTGGATCTAGTCATTTTCTAAATATTCCTTTAAATTAGTTTTGTCATCAATAGAATATTTATTGATTTATATATATATATTTTTTATTTTATTTTAGAAATGTTATGTAATTTTCTGAATACCAAATACAGTGAACGAACTATTTTGACATTAGATCTGGTAATTTTCTAAATATTACTTTTATTTTTTGTTACTTTTATTTATTTATTTATTTTGTCATTATTAGAATATTTATTTTAATATATATTATATATATATATATTAAAATAAATATTCTAATGATGACAGCAATTATATATATATATATACACACACACACAATTGCTGTCATCATTAGAATATTTATTTTATTTGATTATTTTATGAAATGAAATGAATACCGAACGCTCATGCATTATTCCATCAGTGTGCGTGTGATTGATCGGCACGCGCTGTACACAGTCCAGGAAACGCCAGAGAGCCGCGAGCGGAGCGGAAGGGAGCTGCAGGGAGTTGAGCGCTGAACGCCGGGCGGCTCGGAGGTCTGTGATCGCGGTTCTGCTCGCCTGAAACGGAGCACCGGATCGCCACGCGCTCGCTGGAGGAACGGAAAGCGCCGCCGCTGCGCATGCACAATTTACCGAGAGTTACCGAGCAGAAAGAGACGAGCGGAGCGGAGAGATGGTGGATAACAGCGGCAGCGGCAAAACACAGATGGTGAGTCGGTGTAACTCAGTCTAAATGTTCATAATGTTACTAATAATGCTGAACTCTTGAGCTGTCAATCAAACACTGCGACACACCGGATCATCGGTACCGACTCCGAGAGAGTCCGCTTCTGTGGCTTATATATTGAGCTACTCTGCGAAAAAAACATTTGTAGTAGGAAATGTCACAAAGAAACCGCAAGTAACACTGAATTAAATGTGACATCTTTAAGTAGAAAGACTGAAAGTCCAGTCATCTTAATTTCATCTACAACTTCGAAAAATCATTTTTACAGTGAATTGAAAATAAAAACAAATGTTCTTATATTCTCATAATCGCGATCAAATATATAAACATCCCTAGAACAACATTTACCTGATTAGATAGAAGGAAGATTCATTTTCTAAGATAATTTATAAGTGAATTCATACAGTAAATGCATATTAAAGTGAATGTATCGCTTTATATGCATTTCTTATCTGTATCTGATGTACTTCTGCTTATCAGAGACGTGCATTTTAATAATATTTAAATCATTTAGACTTGGGGAAAATGACAAATATGCTCATTATAGTCAGTGTTCCCACCCTTTAAACCCACAGAAACCTTCTGTCATGTTGAGAGTTTCATTATTTAGTCTCTTTATGGAGCTGTTTTTATCTTGGTGACCCACAGTGGTGGTGATTTGAGTGTTATTATCACTGTGGTGACACACACACACACACTCTCACACACACACACACACACACACACACACACACACACACACACACACACACA